CCCTCCCCTCATCTCTGTACGGTTGTATAAAAGGAATAGAATATTCTCTTCCAAGATTGACCGTGTAATTGGTCTGATATTAACATTGAGACAATCACTCATATTCTTCCGGTTTGCCCAATCTATCATTCCTGGAGAGTACAATTGATAAACCCTCTTAATTGCAAAATATTTCAGCTGGCACCAACAGAACAGTGCACTATATCTATTGTGGTCAGAAGCTATTGGACCTAATTGCAATTTACCCACTATAAAATTTATAATGTCATTTCCTTCAATTCCTGTACTCAACTCCCATCCTTTTCTTTTTAATTTATTTTAATGCTTTTTGTTTGTTTTGGGGAGCAGCACTGTATCACCTGGGAGTAACTGAAAGGATATGACTTTCTTTTCTGTATAGGATTGCTCTTACCAGTATTGTCCCCGTTCCACTTTTTTTGGAGAAAAGCAGAAGTTTCTTCCTTGGGCTCCCTCGCGTTTATAGCTCAGATAGTGGTGGCAGTTTGCCTTATTGGATCTCATAAGGGTGTCTTCTGTTTTCCAGTTGCCTTCGCTGGGCTTGCTTTTGGCTCCTTCTACATTGCAGGGAAGCTCCATTGCTTTGCACCTGGTGGTCGTGGCCAATCCTGGCGCCTCTGTGCCTTCCTGGGGCCCCTCCTCATTGCCATGCTTATTGCCTTGTCCCGCACATGTGATTACAAACATCATTGGCAAGGTGAGGGGAAAGGGGGTGTGTGATTTCTCCACTACATGCAAGTCTATTCCATTGCCCCCATTGGTCAAAAGCCCAGAGGAGCACTGCTTGTTTTTTGGCCGAGAGCCACGTTTGTGAGTGGCCCGATTGTGGGAACATTGCAAGAAATGAGTGGACCAAAAAAAAAAAAGAAAAAAAAGATTTGATTTAATGGAATAGGGCCACTCTCCAGTTGGGCATCTAATAACTTTCCCTTTCTGTCATATTATAAACCATTTTTGAAGCCCAGACTTTGGGGGAGGTGCAAATGGCTTTGGAGTCTTAGATTGTACACCTCTGCTATAAGGAAAGGAACAGATGGAGCTCAGTGCTCCCTTTTTGCCAAAACTCCTGCTGGACTCAGGCCACCCCCGCCCCCCGGCTGGGATGTTATGGCAAATTTCAGTGCATCCTCTGACCACACCTCAAATCTTAGTGGCAGCAAATTGCTATTACATGACACATGAAGGTGGGACTAGCATGTAAACCCTAAAAGAGAATAAACCAATTTCAAAACAAAATCACCCAGCCGCTTAAGATTAGGAAAACTTCCAGCCAGCTCTGCCTGCTTTGGTATTATTGCCTCTGCAAGAAATTAAGAAGAGAGAAATGAATTTGGTAGCCTGACTACCAAAGTATAATATGGGTTGATACCGAGATGTGTCAGATACTGATCCTTGTATTCTCTTCTGTTCCCTTTAAGATGTGCTGGTTGGCTCTGGAATGGGCTTCGCCTTTGCATACCTCTGCTATAGACAGCATTACCCTGCACTGACGGACCCCAAATGCCATCAACCACTGCAGCACGGATCCAGGCTACCTTCTCCAGAGAGGCAAAAGCTGGCACTTTCTGGCTTCAGCCTAGATGTATGAAGGACTCAGGGGTTTCCTTTCTGCGTATTTTCAGACTCGGGGGGCAGAGAGCTTAATCATCCATGTTATGCTGTGCTCAAAGGCTGGGGGGCAGGGGACAGGAGAGGCATCATTATTTAAAGTATACCAGCCTGATTGAAACTCAGGGCCTCTACCTCTTCTCCTTTATCACATATATGTGGCCAAGAGAGTGAGTGTATTCCAGGACAGCAGAATTGCACATTTTGGGCTGAGTTTTTGTGGCCAACCCATTTCTGGCAACATCAAACCATTCCTCATAAGATCACAATGGAGCAACGAAAGGTGTCTGGTCCATTCCCTCATCGTAATGCTAGGCATCGATCTTCAGTTTAAATGCCTATAAACTGATATAACATGATCTCATCTAGTGTGCCGTCTTGACTTATGTACTACAGAAGAGGTCAGACATTTTTTCACATGATACCCAGGGTCCATTCCTACCCATCCAAAGATAGATGGGTGAGATTTTAATATTCTTCTGCATGAAATTCTGCTTTTAAATAATTGCATGGGGTGGTGGTTAAGGATGCTCCTTTGGGATTTGGTGATCCTGTGCAACAAAGCACCAGCCTTTTTTGAAACAAACAGCAGTTAACTCAACCATTCACCAAGGAGATCAACATGCATTAAAACATGTATAAAGTAGACACCCTAGATCCAAAACCACGCGTTAGCTGTTTTTCTGTTACCTCTTAAGAATAATTACTAAGGAGTCTAATCTCTCCAAAACTTGCCACCGAGGTTTGAGGGATCAAAATTAAATCTAGGGGATGTATTATATTAATTGCATAATTATATTTGTTTTGCAGTGTGCTCTCCGTGCAGTTTACTCAGAGTTGTGCATACTTTTTCTAGCCTTATTACAGTATTTTTAGTTTTGCATCCTCTCCTCTCCCATTGCACTGCTCAGGGAAAAGCTTGATTCTCACCAGTGCAAGTTTGTATCGATTCTGGAAAAGTTATTTTGAATATCAAAAAAAACACCATTTGGCCAGCCCGGCTTTTTATCAAACACTATAGACTTCAGAATTACAATGCTGTGATGCACTTCATGGGGCTGATGTTACTATAGTTCAGTTACAGTTCTATCAACTTTCTAATACTCAGGGGTCCTCAAGGAGCATAACCAAAGTATAGTGTGTGTTGCAAATACGTATACCAAAGTTACTTGCTCCCTCCGCCTCTAAATAAATCACTAGCTGCAAATTAGTAGGAAATAGGAAGAGGAAAGAGAAAGAGCCAGTTTCCCTTAATGCTTCCCTATTGCTTTTCAAATATGTGAAATACTGTATTTAACTCTAAACTTTGATTGTCCTGCCCAAGGCCATAACACTTTGTTCTGTGTAGCATAATCCAAAAGCAAGATTTGCCTTGCTGCTCTTAAGTCATAGCAAGCAGCCCCCCCTTTTTTCCCCAGAGAAAGTGAGCACAAATGGGTATAGCTTGAGGTGGTTTCAGACAATTTCCAGCTGTGGAATCTTACTACCCATCATCTCTAGATGTAGGTAGGGATGATTAAAATTTTGGGCTGACATAGCTGGGTGGTACAAGTTTAAATAAAACTAGATATGCCTGGGAAGATGGTATTGTTCCATTACGTTGGCTTTGGTCACTCTACATTGACTTTGACCATTTCTGTGAAATGTTAGATCTCTGTTATAGTGCTCTTGTGCTAAGAAGAGTTGGGTCGCCATGGAAATTGCTGGCTGGCCTTGAGTGGTAAAGATAAACAGAGGGAGCCTTCAGCTCCTAAGCAAGTAAGAGGAGGGGAAACAGTCTGTGAAACAGTGGTTAAGCAAATTATCTTAACGCTAAAAGCAAGTTCTAATGATGGCACAATCCATTATTTACCAGTGTGGCAATCAAAGGTCGTCTGAATTTAGACACAGGAGCCCAATCTGCTACCATGGCAGGTTCATTCTGTGCTTGTTTTTAAGACTAGTCTGAAGCAGCTTCACATGCAGAAAGATTGTGGCTGCATAATTACATCGTGTTTTCACTGTGTTTCCATTTTTAGCCTTGTTTCTTTTGGGGAATTTTTAATGAGTTAAACTAGGACTTAAACACCACTGCTGTTCCTACACCACTACCTTGCCAAAAGGAAAAAAAATGGGCAATATTCAGACACCCCAAAAAGGGTTTAGGGGTTCTTACAGCCAACACACTTTCCACTCCTGGTTAAAGATAAATGGGCAAGAAGTTTACTAAAGAGAAGCAATTTTTCTAACAATTCAGTTCTCACAGACACTCACACAAACTTGGTTGATTGTGGTGGAATTTCTGTGCAATGAATCAGTGTTTATAGCTCAGAACTACCTTGTTACTCATGCTCTCTCCACTAATACTCAGCTTGTAGTCTTGTACATTTATCCAACTATGATGCACTCCTCACTCCATCTTTCAAAGAGATGCTTCCTTAGCCGGTCAGTTTGTCCATGTCACTACCCATGTACTTTTTTTTTTTAATCATAGGGTCATTGGACGCATATGTCTTCATTGGAAATTGCCATTCTAACAACAGAAATTACGATTCTTGGTTTTTTATACTATTTATACCATATAGCAGAATTCTAGTAGATACAGTCTAGGGTGAAAGTCAAATCTTGTTCTACATATCATAACATCTGCAAAATGTCACAGTATAAGCAAGTTTGTGCAGCATAACAGCACTTGGGTATTTTTAAAGTATCTGTGGTTATCCTGTCAGATGAATGCTACACATCCTTAAATGCTCATTTGAACTGCATAAGAACCCAGATCTGTGTGCTGATGATCTTACTGCCTTAACAGGAAAACCACTTGAGATCACTAAGATTACTGTGTAAGAAATCAGTTCTCCTAATATTTTATCAACTGTGCTTACTATAATGACAGATAAACAGGCCTGCACTACTCAGTCTGTTAGGGTTCTCCTTACAAAGATCAATAAATTCACCAAAGGCAGACAGCTCCTCGAAAAAAGTGAAATAACTTTTTTTTTTTAAATAGGCAATATTTTACAAAGTGCATTAACTTCAACTGTTTGGAATTTGAACAAAACTTGACTTTTCCTATTGATACTCCAATCAAGAATTTGGTCATGCCAAATGGCATTCTGTTCAGTCACAAGTTAGCATGAGAGGCTGAAAAATCCAATTATACAATGACAATCAGTGCAAACATAATGGGGAGAATAACAAAATTGAAATCTGGCACAGAATTGGAACACACAAGGTGAAGAGAATGTAGCGTGATCACATCCCACTTGTAAACACGTGTTGCCTGCTTCTCCCTTGGTCAAAGGGCTTTCTTGAAAAGAGGAGGAAAGCTGTGGAGACTGCACTGTTTTGTAGCATCTGAGATACGTGAAAAGTAGCTGACCACTGTGTGACAAAAGTCATGCAACAGCTGCAGGGCTCAACTTACATACACCATGAAATCACAGGTGTGTTCCATCAGGCAAACCAGCCAGCCAAGATTACGTTGAGCCATGCAATTTACGCTCTGGCACACTAAACCAGCAAGGTGAACTGACTGTCCAAACGGTCACCTTGGGCCACCTTGAACTAAGTAAAAATGCTGGTATAGAGCTGCTCTCATCTGGTGCTTTAAGAGACAGTCTGCTGTCCAACTACTATGTGGGCACGTTTCTAGGATGGGACCTCATTCTTCAGATGCTTTCAAGGACCCAACTGAATGCATTACAACAACAGCATATCAAGTTGCTGCTTGCGTGAGGTTTGGCACCTCCCAAGTCAGAACATAAACACACAGCTTCTACAACAGTGTTTACGTTATATTAGGAATCTACTCTTCCTCTTGATCCGGGTATATTTTTCCCAAACAGACTGGAATTAGCATCAAGTGAGAGGAGATTCTGCCACTAAAATGGTCTCCTGGCAGTCTGTGTTCTTGAAAAGTACCAATGATTCTGCAAAATACACATTCTCTTTTTGAAAGAGGGCATTCTGTTCTTAAATAGCTGCAAAAGCTCAGCCAGGAGCTTCCCAGCTAAGCTCTCCCCATTTTTCATGGCTATCTAAAAGTTGCATTACACCAAGTACACCTCTTAACTCAGGCGTGATAACAACAGAACCCACATTTCTTCTAAAGCTGCTTGAACAACAGCTACACTAAGCAAATGGTAGATAGTAACACAGGGACAGGAATTGCTCATCCATATTCTGATCATGGTGAACAAGAACCAATTTACAAGCTTTGCCAGTTCCTTCCCAGGTAAGTAACTATATACTTTCCCTGCTTTAGAAAAGTAGAACAGTACACAGCTATTGCTGGCATCATCATCATCACCATCATCATCATGCTTATTTCAGAGAAGAGTGGACTTGGCTTGGCCAGATTTTAGCTCTGGTCTTCAGCCCCTTTCTTGGGTCAAGCAGCAGCAGCAATAAGATGTACAAAACAAAAATGAATTCCCCACAAACAATCTAACAAGTAATGCTCAACACTCAGTGTATCCTCAGAAGAAGAGCTTTCAAAAGTCCAAACCCTTCACAACTTTGCCCATCTTGAGGTTTTTCAAATGGAGAGGAGATGTGAAGTTCTAGCACCAATTCCAAGTTTTGACTAGTGCATAATATGGACTTGACAGAGTTGGTATTGCAACCTGACCTAAAGACATACTGGCTGTAGACAGAAAATGCAGATCAGTTAATTAACAAGGGCCTGAATGTACCAGGAATCAGACAGGATCTCAATGCTCACTACCACCCCTGTGAAAGAAGATAGGGTAGTGAATCTTCCAGAGTTCCAGGCTGTGAGGATGAAGCATGCTGGGTACATCAGACAAAAGAAGAGGAAGGTGACACAGGAATCCTGATGAGCTCCCACCATGAGTAAAACCTAAAGAAACAACACAGTACATCAGCCATGCTAGGTTAGCGTTTCATTAATGGCAACAGAAATTGTAGAAGGATAGGAATTACATGAAGAAACTGCAAACGTCAAGCAACTGGTCAGTGTAAGGGAGAACTCACAAAAGGACAAATATAATCTCACACAGCGGTGTAAAAAATCTGAAATTCCAGTCACATTAGAAAGAGTGCCACTAGATTCCAGGTAGGTAACTAAACCACTGAAGTGGTCTGTGATTACAACAGTAACTTGATTCTTTCCTGAACTATTGGTATCTTTTAATTTAGACAATGTAAAACAGTTTTCAGAAAGGATGGTCTGTGTTGTCAGTGGAAAATAGGTTGAACACTGAAAGTATAATTAGGTTCTTGAAAAAGACTACATCCTTTAAAACAAGGTAGTAGTTATATGTTTTTCTTGAGGATGAATCTGTATGTTCATCTGGAAGCCTACCACCAAATAAACATATTCAGTACTGTATTGTCAATCCACTACTGTTCATCCTTTCTTGGAAGCAATATCTGAACTTGGAAGGAATCAAAGGGCTATCCTGTTAGATTTAGGATTGTGATGTAAAGGCTGATTTACAACCTTCACAATAATTTGATTGTGGACTAAAAGGAAAACTGAAGGTTTTGATTTCCTTATCTCAATGGAATTCTGCAGCTTAGAGGAGAAGATCAGATCCAAGGAAAACATTATAGAAGGGATAAGATATACCCAGGAGGATAATTTATAAACCTTCAGTTGCTTTTAGTCTTCTTCTCAACAGATAGCCAGAGTAAACCAGCCTCAAACCAGAAAAACAAAGAGACTCACGTATTTGGTATCCAGAGCCGTGCAGCTGGTCAGTTGGATTTTACAAAAGGGGTTGATCCATGCTGATACCCTTCGTTTGATAAATCTCCTTCAGCAGCAATAATACTGTGTCTTCTGACTCCCTAGAGGAAGGAGGGATAGAGGATGGAAAGAAAAAAGAGAAAGAAACAACAGCTATTTATGTTTGATTAAAAAATAACTGGCAAATTTCTAATACATATATTTCACATTTTTGTTTTGAATCCTAGCTATAATGCATACGATTAGCTAAATTCAATTCAGGGTATCATCTTTATCCCAACTTTATATAGTTAGAAACTAAATGTGAAAGCAGTGAAAGACTGGAAGTAAGCTTAACTTCCAGCTGAGTGATTAAAACAATACAATACAAAGATACATAAACAGTCATGAGACCCTTGGAGAAAAGCAGGAACAAAGGACGGGATGAAACCTAATTCCGCCTGCCTCAACTTAGTGCCACTCTGGATGAGAAGTGGGATGGTCAGGTGATCTGGCTGCCCATTGGTCACAAGGGTTGATTTGGCTGATCTGGATGGCTAGGCTGGTGTCATCTCCCCCACCCCCGGCTCCATGTGAGTCCCTCCCAAAGCTGCACACTCAGGGGAAGGGGACGACCTTCCCAGATAGGAGCGTACTGCTCTTTGGTCAAGGGCTTTTGGATGACAGCCCCCAGCCAGCAAAGCTACTGGGCTCCAGATCAAGATAACTCCCTATGCAGAGCTTACCAGTAGCATAAATGGCCTTGCAGTGCAAATAAATACTCATTAAAGCTTTCAATGGGTTTCTCCTGAAGCACATAGTCAATTCGATGGCCCCCATTCAGAAGGCCCACATTAACTGGAGGCGACGAGGCTGGCTCCTCTTTCACGGATGAGGCTGGTTCCTCTGGTTTCTCCTCTGTATTCATATAGAAGGAAACTCGAATCAACACACTTGAAATCAGTGAACAGGCTAGTTAAGCTAAGACCTGCCTTCATCTTCCTGCCTAAGGCAATGGTGGGGACTCAGTCTTATATTATACAGCAGTGTTTCTCAACCTCAGCAACTTTAAGAGGTGTGGACTTTAACTCCCCCCTGGCTGGGGAATTCTGGGAGTTGAAGTCCACCCCTCTTAAACTTGCTAAGGTTGAGAAACACCGCTCTAGAGAGCCCTTTCTTCAGACAGCACGAGGAACACTAAAAAGAAATGGTGACTCTTGCACACAACTACCTAGATGGCAGTTTCAGTTGAAGAGTTGTGCTGCTCTGTGCTCAGCCCTGGAAATTGCCCAACTCAGTCCTCAGGCCATTATGTCTCTCTTCACTCAAGGGAGCAGAATGAGCCCTTATCTGGTGCCAAAGAGGTCCTCATGCAACTCATAATCTCTTAAGTATAACCCACTGCATCAACATATTCATTCTGTACTATTTACTCCAAACTTGTATTGTAATGGGAGTTCTGTTAATGGGATGCCTGAGTCAAGGATAGCTACAAAGCAACACAAGATGGTTTCCTTTCCCTGCACCAAAAGTGGGCAAACTCTTTGGGTGTTCCTCCCCCTGCTGCAAACCATAATTAAACCTAGGCTTTAAACCAACCAGCTTGCTTCTCCATAATGGCTTCAGCTTCCGATTCCTGTTCCTCATCTCCAGTGGCTCCTGCCTCCACAGCTGGCAATGAAGTTCTGGTGAATGACTGCCAAGCAGTCCTCAAGGAGCCCAGTAAGTTATTTTTCAGGTCCATGCTCATCCGAGTGAGGCCTTCCTTCAATTCTGGGAAAATAATTTGAAAAAATTCAAAACCAGAAAAAAAAAAGGATCAAATAGTTGTGTAACCTAAATGCAAGTTTTAGTTTGTTTGCTCTGAAAAAGCCTGTCATTCTAAACCAATGTTTCTCAGCCTTAGCAACTTAAGATATGTGGACATGCTGGCTGGGGAATTCTGGGAATTGAAGTTCACATATCTTAAATTTGCTAAGATTGAGAAACACTGTTCTAAACAGTCTAGATTACAAGCTTCTTATCTGTGGACCAATGCATTTTCATGGCTTCATAGCTCCCTTTTTCTCACACGTCAGACAACACTGGGCCTCCAACCTCAAGCTTTCCCAAATCAGCTTGTTTCCCTAAACCAGTTCTAACAAAATATTTTTATCTACAGAACTCCATGCCTGGGTGAAGATATCTTTGCCAGCATTCCTTCATATATTATAGGGAAAATTCTGAGAAAGTGACTTCATAAATGTGTATCCAGGGGAGACATGAGGAATCATCCTAGGGTGGATGTGATAAGTTACCTGCCAACCATCCTTAACCCTTCTGGTTCCACCCCATCCCTAATTCTCACACGGATAATGCAGGTGTATCAGAATGCATACCATCACACGCAAAGCTGTAGATGGAGTCCCACTGAACATCACTCACACCTCCATATGAAGGTAGGGAGTCATTTGGGGAGACTAGTCTGAGTGTCTGGCCACCCAACAGAAATACAACTAAAACCATAATAAGAGCAGGACAAACTATGTAAATGAAAGCAGGAATTCTTTATATCCTTCTTAGCGATTGGAAAAAATGTTATAATTGTCCAAGAACAACAGACAATTTTCATGTGTGCATAGAAAGACCTGCAGCAATGCAATAATGTGTGTCTTGTCTGAAATATATTTGGGTGCAAAAGATAGAGAAGGAACAATGCCTTTTTTTTTTTTTTACCTAAGTGCATCCTCTTCCGGCCCTTGTGGTGAGGAAGCAGCATGGGCTCAAATTCCACATCAGGAACAATCATGGGCTCTATCCTGTATGCTACTGGGTCAAACTACAAAAGAAAAGATTTGTGGACATTACAGGCAGGCCATTTTCTATACCATCTTTAATCCCAAAGGCAGCATGCCAACAATTTTAAAAACAAAAATTGAAACAAAAAATCAAAAGAAGGAAGGAAGCTGCCACAATTAACTAAACAATTATTGCATCCTTTTTTTTTTTTTAAGGACTGGGCAACCTGCAGATCACATATGACTTCCTGGAGCCACTCTACAGCTTGCTATCAAATTCTGATGCACAACTGGCTATTAAAACCACCATTTTAAGAGCATTTTATTCTTTGTTTGTTTTAACTTGTTCTAAGGTTTAATTTTTTTTCTTGAGTTTTGGTTTCTTTTTTTCTTTCTCTTTCTTTCATTTGGAGAACCTAGAAGAGATTATTTTCAGGATGTTTCTGCACATTTCCATTGTCTTTCTGGTCATCTCTCAGCAGTGCTCCTCTTCCCAGGGTTGATTTCACATTGTTAGAAGAAGTTGGGCAGAAACCTTTCCATCATACAACCGTCCATGAGGTTAAAGGTAGTTCTCGTTTAGCGACCACAATTGGGACTGGCAACTTAGTCATTAAGCAAAGCAGTCAGTAAGTGAAACTGCAAATGTGCTTATGATCTTACATCAATTCTCCCTTGCTTTACAGACCTGCAAAGGTTTTAAATGAGAGGATTGGTTGCAAAGTTATTTTTTCACCACCATCATAATTGTGAATGGTTGCTGTACAAGGCAGTCACTAAATAAGGACTATCTGTATTATCTTGACATCAGAATAATAACCATTCCTATCAAAAGAAGCTTAACTTTTTGTCTTGTTCACTGATTCTTTAGGCAAATGGGGAAAATCAGGACATTGATCTGAATTGTAGATCTTTTTCTCTCTGGTTCTACCAGCTCTGCTCTTTGGGTTTTAATGTCTGCTTATTATTGCCATTTTTGTTTTACACTGAGCTGCACTTCTCATTAAGCTGCCTAGAGGACCTTCTGGGCCAAGAGCAAGGTTTAAGCATTCCCAGTTACCAAGTCAATCTTCAGAGATTAATATCTTCACAAGGGACTGAAAAATAAGTAATGATTAGAAGAGGCAAGCTTTCTTTGGGAAGAGTTCTCCAAACTGCTTTATCCTGTTTCTAATGGTAAGGAAACACCAACCACAGACAGTTAACCTGAGCACCAATACAGGATGAGGTATCCCCAGACAAAGCACATTAAGGTTGTCTAATTTAGAAGCTGTACACTATACACATTGGATCCAAGATTTTATTTATTTCCAAATGTTATATACTTTTTCACAAGCCAGAATTTGGAAGGCTATGTTTTCATAAGCCAAGTGCCACAGAGCCTGGGTATAACTACCTTCTATCTCTTTGTTAAGACTCTTTATTTTCCTTTTCTTTTTTTCTAACATTGGTGGATTTGTTAATTTCTCATCAGTTACATGGCTGGCTGGGGAATTCTGGGAATTGAAGTCCACACATCTTCAAGTCGCCAAGGTTGAGGAACCCTGAGTTACATGAAAAGGTCCATGGGGCTGGATTGGATAACCAAGACCGTGCAGATATCTGCCATCCAGTTAACAATACAAAGAGATGGAGCCAGAGCCAACTAGCCATATTTGGGTCCCATCAATTTTAACAGGACTTGAATCAAGTTAGCCATGACTAATTTGAACTGCACTTCAGTGGGACCCAGCATAATTTTCTATCTGTACTCCTTTGACAAAGGAACAAGAAAAGTTACTCTCAGACATACCGGATGAAAGACATTGAAGAAGCCTTTGCAGGTAGGCAGGGTGTAGGTTGGATCAATCCTATTCACGCCTCGTACAGTGAGAAACATCCCAATGGGTGAGCCAAAAGCAAAGAAAATCTGTGGATTGTAGATAAGCTGAGGGTAGTTTGCAGAGACCTGGCGGAATACAAATACAATTGACTGTTTGCAGGGAACAACAATTCCATTCTGTCTGTCTATCTGTCTCTCCCTCTCCATGAAATACTAGCATACGTCAACTCAGTTAACACATATCAAATACTTACTTTCTTCCTATATCATTACTGACCTGTGGGACTCACTACAAAAGTTCAAACAGAGACATGCTGCTAAAAAAAAAAAAAAGTAGCTTGTCTTTCCGGGGCATCTTTCCTTCAGGGCAGAATTGTTTAAAAGCCTCAGACCTTGTATATAGGAATTTCAGATCGTTCTCCAAGCTACACATTTTATGGGACAGGCAAATATTCCTTAGCTTGGACACTTGAGTAAAGATTTGTGGAATTTAGAAGCTCATAAATGCTGGGGATAGTCAGCAAGCAACTATGAAAGGATGCAAACAACAATAGCAAAGGATAAAAATGATGGGAGTTTAGTGTGATACCTCTGCCCCCACCCCAATGAAGGATTTGACATGAGATAATTTGGTCTGGACTCAGGTTGTAGACCAATCAGCAGGGGTCAGAACAAAATACTTCTTAATAACATAATCTATATAAATGTAATATTTATGCCTGTATGACTTCTAAAAAAATACAGAATTTTTTATTTTCAATATTTTACTGATGCGCTATTTAAATAAAATTTAAAGCAAAAAACATCACAAGACACGAGTGTTCTGTGGTTCTTCAGCATTCAAGAATTAGTAATGGGAGACACCAGCTGGGTCCACACATTGCACTATGCTATGATGTCAGCTGCCTGGTTCCAGTTTAGTGTAATGTGTGAATCCAGCCATCAAGGTTTAACAGAGAATGATTAATCAAATAATTATTTGTATAAAGTGTGAATTCAGACACTGTATATTATGCAGCCTGATCATTACTCTGGTTCAGTAAAACTTCTGAACAGCTCGACCAAAGTCTACCTTTATATCTATGATGGGGTTAATAGGAGGCTGCCATCTATTAAAGTTACCTGCCCCGTTACAACATCCAGTTGTCTGCAACTGGTTTCTGCACATGTGGGCTTTGCAGATGTTTCCTGTTTGGCATCTCCACCTTCCTCAGCAGCTCCAGAGGTTTGTTTCAAAGTCTACAAAGAAACATTTTTAAAAATCTTCTGCCGTTTCTTTCAAACATGTGCTACCTCAACAGTAGGAGGACTCGTTTTGTAAAACTTTTTAGTGGAATGCTATTACTATCGCCTCTACAGTGAACACTGTACACTTCATGATATAAGGGTTGAACAATTATTTGTATTATTGACTTTTCTACCTAGAGCATATTAAAGGCTTCATAAATTTATATTTACCCACAGGCTTCATTATCGAATGATCTGAGAAACCAAAAGGGATAAAAGGTTAAACTGATGCAAAGTCTCTACCAATATCGTCACTCTTGGGTCAAACAAAAACACTTTTATCTGGAAAACAAGCTAGAAGGTGGTGCGACTCCAATGGGAAAATGCAGCAAGAATGAAAAGGGTTTAAGCATGATCCCAAGAAGCACAGAAAACCTTCATCATGAAAAGCACATTTTTAAACTATGGAATTTGCTGCCATCTGAAGTGGTGATGGCTGTCAATTAGGTAGCATTAACAGGCAACTGAACAAGTCTATGGAAGATCAGGTCCTCAACAGCAATGCCTGTATAATACCATCTACTGGGGAATAACAGTGAAACTAGGCCATTACCCACTTGCCTATGCTTGTGAACTTCCTGAATGCATTCTGGGTGATACAAAATGCTGGACTAGGTGAACATAAGGTTGGATCCAGCAGGGCCCTTCTGACATTCTTATATACAAACCAGCACTGCTTAGCTTTTCAAGCACAGTGGACATCAATGCCTGTGCACCATATAGCTAATAGAAAACACAGAATATTAATTCCAAGATAGAGGCAAGAATGTGAAACAGACAGAACGGTGACAGAGTCTTCCTTTTGATTCAGGTGACGAATTTAATACCAGATAACAATGTTCCAAAGGATAACTGTATTGCTGTGTCCCTGAAGATGCCCATTTCAATGACTCAAAGGCTTACACAAAGCATACCTGGCAGTTGCTTCTGTTCCTTAAATAGTGCAGGATCTTGATTCTGGGTCCCAAGGGAATCCCCATATCTTTAAGCTCCTTGTCCTTGCATAAGGCCTGCACAGTAAGAATCCCACACTCAGAAACACAGTTCTACTATAAACAGGGATACAGAAAGGAAGAGGGAAAGGGGCCAGGCTTAGACTGCTTCTACACAGCTCACCAATTTCAAGAGACCATTCAGCTTTGTAAAGCCAACATACTAACCCCAAACAAAACAAAGGGGTTCTGCAAAACCCAGAATCAGGAAACACTGCAGAAAAGGTGACACCCTGCTCACAATCCATACGCTTTTCTGTAAGCAGGTTCAGTAATCTGGCAAGAGAAACTTGCCTAGATCACAGACTAGGTTCTGTTGCCGAGGAAGCCATGACTTGAAAATGCACCACAGCAAAAGAGCAAGAATGAGAATAAGGAAGTGCTTCCCCAATGATTCTAGCACAGCATGGTGCCATTGTGTGTGTGTGTTTTAAATAACAGTATCCTTGAATATTCTAAGCTTGGGACATTCTTTTATATGCACTTGGAGCTATAAAGCAGGAGAGAGGTAATACAAATAAATAGGAGAGATGGGATGTTATTTCTTGCCAAAGGAGTATCCAGCTCTGAACATCAACTATCCCAGGGGAATAATCTCCAAGTGGATCCAAGCAAAATTAGAACAGAAAAGAAATGGCTCATCTGTATCTATCTGCCCCTGGTAATTATTGATCTAAAGTTAATTTGCATGAAGAGGCCCAGATACGGAAAGGAGATATATAAAAGCTAGCAGCACCTACGTTCTAGGTATCAGTAGCAACCCCAACTTTATTTACCAATGCTCGATTATCAATTTTTTCCTTCTCAAACACAGCACAATATTCGGAAAGCTCAAGTTCTGCTAAGATATCCTTCACAGATTTGTTGACTTCCTGATCCATCACCCGTCTTTGCAATCCCTGTGAAAAGTCAATTGGGCAGCTTTTCAGGCTCCTTGTTTGCTTCAGTTTAGAATATATGCAAATGGTATCACTGAAATAAACTATCAAATTGCAAAATGTTACAAAGGATTATCCTAATATTGGGTTCTAGAGCCAGTTTGGCGTAGGGGTTAAGGAAGGCACCAGGCTAGAAACTGAGAGGCCAGGAGTTCTAGTCCTGCCTTAGGCACAAAACCAGCTGGGTGACCTTGGGCCAGTCCCTCCCTCTCAGCCCTAGGAAGGAGGCCATGGCAAGCCACTTCCGAAATCTTGCCAAGAAAACTGCAGGGACTTGTCCAGACAGGTGCCAAGAGTAAAAAACTAGAATAATATTTTATACACACACACATGCATGTGTGTGTGTGTGTGTGTGTGTGTGTACAGTATATACATATATAATATAGGGTGGAATCAAAGTTCAGTCATGCTTGGAGCAGAACCACTGAAACATATTTATAGCTGAAATCCTGTATCACCTTACTGAGACTAAGCTTCATTAGAATCAGTGAGAGGACATTTTAAATCCAACGTTTTGATTAGAATGTTCCCACAGTTCCTTCACATCCCATCCCCTATTTTCTTAGAAAACACTAAGGATTAGTGCCCTACTCAAAACTAGGGAACAACCAACTTTAGCAAAAGGAATAACGAACTTCTTCTCCCAGGAGTACCTGAAAGTTAGCCCAGCTAAATGAGCGCGTGCCATCGAAGCATCAGAGGACTTAGGCCTGTCCTGAACTGAAGCAGCAGCATAATATGCAACCACGTACCTCATTTTTTTCTTGCTCATCAGGTGTACATTTCTGATTTGTGAGAAGATCAAATAGTATAAGTGACCCTAAGAAAAGAGCATCATTAGCAGGTGCCAATGCCTTGGAGGAAAATCATAAATATGGCATCTCAGGACTTGCCAAATGTTCTCAATCTTCTCAGGTAAAATCGACACCTATAATCCTTGTTAGTTTGTTTTTTAACAACAATAAAAGGGGAAATTATTGATATTACAATTTGAAAAGTGGAACATGGATGAAACTAGTTTTTATTTTTTAACCTGGAAATCCTACCCTCAAGGGTTGTTTTTTTTTTTTTAATCAATATATCATCCACTATTTCATGAAAACACAAGGAGGGGAATGAATCTCCCAGCCCTACAAATTTTTAAACAAGTGGCAAAAAATGTATTCAAAATTACAAGTGGAGTGAAAATTCAGAAGAACCCAGGGGATGTTGCATCCCAAGATCCAAAGATTTAGTTTCAATACAGATTTTAAATGGGATGGGAAAGGGAGTCATTCACTTTTAAATTTCTCAGTAATAGGTGATCCAGTCTGTCCTGTTCCTGTAGTTATATCTGAATAGCTACAGAGCTCATTCCCAAGTGAAATGATTTCATAAGTCCTTATAGCTAACAAGACCACTATTGTGTACAGCAGGGTTCCTCAACCGCGGCAACTTTAAGACAGGTGGACTTCAACTCCCAGAATTCCCCAGCCAGCAAGGCCAGCTGGGGAATTCTGGGAATTGAAGTCCACCTGTCTTAGAGTTGCCAAGGTTGAGGAACCCTGGCCTACACTACCAAGATGCAATCTCCTAGGGTCTCCAGCAACATTTTTTTCCAGCCCTATCTGGAAAGGCCAGAGACTGAATTTGGAATCATCTGGATGCAAAACAAGGATTCTGTTATGAATTACTCAAGATCATTAACACTTGATGAAAGCAACTTAATTGGTTTTAGTTCTTCTTTTTCCTGTCATCTGCATATGATTCAACTGTTAATTAATTTCAGATGATCATGTATGTATTATGGTCCCTCTGAGAATTTTTTTCTATGTGGATCTAAGACTCCAATACATTTTTTCTAGTATATTATATTGTAAAGAATATATGCAGTATGCAGTTAGGCTTTGCATCTAAATAAGAAAAACAATTATACCTAAGCTATGGCCAGCTATTGAGACACCCCCTTTGAAGTCAGGATTTCTCTCCATAAAGAGCAGATAGAGTCGGTTCATTTCTGACGCAACTGTATCCACAATGGTTTGACAGTAAGTAGAGCTGTTGTAGAAAAACACATCCAGGATTGTATCATTGATGAAGTGACGCAAGCGGTTGATGCTTGGCAAGGTGATTCTCTCCAAATCTCTGTGAGCAAAGCAGAGAAGGACATTTAGAAGGAACAGTGATTTAAACAATCCCTACTGACAACTGGCATTTTTAACTTTGTATTCAACTTCCACATTCTGCCACTGATGTTTTTTGTTATTATAGACTTCGCTACAAAAGTTGGATGACAATAAAACTCACTTGTAAAAACATTGAGGTACTCTTGTGATTGGATCTGATGTTTATTAACCAATAAATCCAACTGAATTCAATGGACGTCCAAGAAAACATAGTGAGAATTGAGTTGCAAATTAAATGTTTGCAAAGCCTCACTGCATTTACCACACAGTTTTCTTATTAAGGAAAGGAGGATTTGGTGGGTTGGGTTAGGTTGGCTTGGGTGAGATCACAGGAGGCCTAGAAGAGTGACATATCAACCTTTGGGGCTAAGGAATCCAAGTAAATATCCCAAGCTACACACCACAGGGAAGGAAACACTGGAAAATAATACAGCTGTTTCATTTCTTTTTTAAGGTAGCCTTCGATAGCACTATATGGATATGTGCCATCAAGTTGGTGCTGACTCCTAACAACCACACGGATAGGCCATCTCTAGGATGAATATGGATGTGACAGGCAGGCAAACCAATTACAAAATGATATAATTACCCAATGGACATTTTGTATATTGCAAAACTAAATGTGTTTGATTCCTTCCTCCTGGTAAAAGATGGTCATAGCAATCCTAACGACTTCAAGACAGAATAATGTTTCATAGATCTTCTAGATTTTCTCTGTGGCTCTAATCTGAGCAATTAGATTAAGGGAGAGGGGGAGGAAACAGTGCTTAAAAGTTCCAAATTTTGCTTTGAAAATTTGTTGGTTTGTGCAAGCAAAAGGTTGCAGATAATGCCTTTGAATAATGCCTTCATTATAGAATGTCTGTAGTTAAGTAATTGTGGAAAATAAGGATGCTTCTACACAAGACAATGAAAACCATAGATCCAGCAGCCGTCACATTCAACTATATTTTTTCTTGTTTAGAACTACTGTGCTTGTATTTTCAGAACGTAGAGAACTGCAGCCTGAAACACTGAAAATATGGCAACCACTCCAACTGGTTAATCTCTCTCCAAAGAAGAATGCAATATAGAGAGAGAAAGCTGATCTTATATTTGCCTGCCTGCTAGAGGGCAATGGATAGAACTCTAGCAACGGAGAAGAAAAATAGACTAAGAAATTAAGGTATCTGAGTTGGTGGCAATGCGTATCACTTGACAAAATGAGGAAGGAGGGGAAAAAAATGGCAAAAGCAGACCTAAGAGTATATTTTATCTATTTTATATATGTTGTATGGAGTCCCCAAAAGTTTGAAATGCAACAAATCTATCTTTACTGCCTGCTCTTGCCAGTTACTTTATGAAATGATAAATATCTTTGTAGATCCCAGGCTGACATTACATGATACAGATTTTCTTGGAGCACTGCAAAATGCACTTACACATCTACTCCTGTATGCAAAGTACTGTGCCAGTTCACTGGGATAAATTCAACTCGGCCAATCTGTTGCTGTTCCTGAGCTTTCTTGAAATGTGCTGACAGCATGTTCAAGGAAACACTTCGGAAGTCGTTGACTGAAGAAGAAGCAGAAACTATTTTGAATCAAGGTAGCTATCACTGCACACTTAACACTGGGGGGTGGAGAATTCAATTTCCTGGGGAGATTGGAAGGAGACTCAAATTGGGAAAATAGAATGAAAATAAGGGATCAATTCCTCTCTCTCAGCACCGTTCCAATTTATTTTTAGGGGGAAAAAACACAGGAAGTGCAGAAACAAGTCTTCCCTACATTTCATTTACTGTAGCCCTAAGGAGTTTATAAAACTTATGCTTTCAAATCAATTTTGACTCCTGGTGACTACCCAGTCATGTCCATGAAGCTTTCTCGGTGACATTTTTGGAAATGGTTTGCCCTTGCCTTCTTCTTCCTTGGGCTGAGAAACAGGGACTGGCCCCAAATCACCCAGCTGGCTTTGTGCCTAAGGTGGGACTAGAATTCAACAGTTCCTTCTAGCCATAACCACCACGTCAAACATGCTCTGTAAGCAGTTTATAACTCTTACATATCTATTGAAAACACAATTCACTGGTCCTAGCAGTAGCAGCAATTGCCTGATTCTTGTTCCTTGCTCTAGTTATGATTATGGAAAGTTAGCATTTCCACCAGTACGTTTTCACAGATTTTACTATCTCAGAAGGCTTGTAAGAAGTCCCACTTGGAAGCCACACCGTTGGCATATTACTGTATAGGTTTCTTCTACAACAAGGTTATTTCACTGATGTAGTTGCCCCTTCAGGAACCACTTTATGCAATCTATGCAGCGGGACAAGATGGACTAAAAACTAATTAAGTTTTTAAGTCTCATCCCCATTTTTAAGTCTCATCCCCATTGCATCAGCCCATCCCACCCAGTCAGGCAGAGAGGGCATGTTGCAGATCCCGTCAGTGAGAGAATGTTGGCTGGCAGGACCCAGGAAGAGAGCCTTCTCTGCCGTTGCCCCCGCCCTTTGGAATATTCTCCCCCAGAGGTGTGGTGGGCCCCTACCCTCCCAGATTTCCAAAAAGAATTAAAGACCTGGCTCTGCCAGCATGCAAGGGGTGATATGAGCTCTAACCATCCCTGGGGGTGGCTAGCACCTGACGATGCTCCCTTGAATTAGTCACCAACTCTCCATCTATCTTGGAAGTTATTTATTTATTATTAGGACTGTTTTATATTGTATTTTAATGAATTTTATCTCTGCTGTAAATCACCCAGAGTTGTTTCAACGAGATGGGTGGTGACAAATTTAATAAATAAATAAAATAAAAATAAATTAAACTTAAAATGTTAGGTTAAACTTCTGAAAAAAGGAAATTCCCAAGCAACTGCTTAGATGATTTCTTCATTTAAAATTTACATAGTAGCAGCATTATGTAAACAATACATTGGAGAAATTGGCATTGCAAACAATCCAGTTGCTCAAGTTCCACTTCCTATAATACTTGTCAAGATTTGTTGATGCTTGTCTTAATACAATGTCATTTGTATTTTTGCAACTCTCGTGACATAAGCTTTCATGGAACAGTCAACAGTAACACAATCTTTTGTTGGTCAGTTGTTAAGTCGTGTCTGACTCTTCGTGACCCCATGAACCACATCGCGCCAGGCCTCCCTGTCCTTCACTGCCTCCCTGAGTTTGCTCAGTTTCATGCTCATTGCTTCAGTGATGCTATCTAACCATCTCATCCTCTGCCGTCCTCTTCTCCTTTTGCCTTCAATCTTTCCCAGCATCAGGGTCTTTTCCAAAGAGTCCTCTCTTCGCAATCTTTATGTCATAGTAAAAAGTGTTACTTTTTAAGGTGCTGTAAGATTAATTCCCAAAGAATTTCTAACAAAATAATCTCATGTAATTGAAGGCTACCATAATATGGAGCAACCATTATCATTTGCGTACATCTTGCTCTGGAATTTGACTCATCTCCAGTTCATTGCAACATTAGCTAGAAATGCACTGCTTTCCAACATCAAAGTCACATATTAATTAGATGATGATGATAACAACAACAACACTAACCTTTTAATTATTGGGGAATAAAAGCAACTAAAAAATTTGGTATATATTAGTAGGTATATATTAGTAATTCAGGTCCACAAACAACATACTGTAGTATTCACTTGTACAGAAGGACAAATTTTGGAGAACCTGGCTGCATATGGTTAAACAAGTTCATGGTAATATCTGTTTATACAACACACAAAACTCCTCTTTGGGATGCAGAACCAGCAACTTAACTTCTTTGCGCTTACCACATTGAACGATACTCCGGAATCGAATATCACAAGCTGGTCCAATTCCATGAACAACAAAAACTAAATGATCGATTTGCAAAGGTTCCCCTGAAACAAAGAACCAAAGAACTTACTCAGGGTGCTGTTTCCAAAAAGATACCAGATCTTATTATAGATGGAGTATCTTGGTTTTTTACAAATAAAAAAAAAAGCTAGAACTAAATTAAACATTTGATAATGCTTTGGCTTACTCCAGTTGATATTATGTTTAATACAGTTACAAAAGGTTATACAGATTCTGCTGTTCCTGTTCCTTTTCTCTGTCCCCTTCTGTTTACTCTAAGAACCTTATCCAGGACTGTTTTCTAAAATACGTAACACTTTCCTAATATTTTAATCACAGGCTTATAATCTGTGTTAAGAAATAATCCCTGAGCAATCCTTGAGCAAAATCATATTAAACAAAGAAAGTGTGTTCCAAACAAAGGAAGAAGAAAATAATTATCTACCGTGAGGGATTTCAACAGATATATTCTCCACTCCTCTCTTCACAGTCCTCGGCCGGCCTTGTTCTGCAGGACTCACACCCCAATCGTCCGTGATTGTTGCTGGGTGATAATGCACCATTAACTTGGGGGGGAAAAACCAAAGGAAAATGTGTTAAAGGAAATCAGACAGACTAATCTGATAACAAAACGGAGGCAAGCATTTACAAAGGCCTCTGTCCCCAAGCAAGGAAGCTAAAGAAAATCTTAACGGCCACACAGATGCCCACCCTGCAGCTGCCTTCAGCTTCCCACTACTGACTCTGTTGTGCTTTGATTTTTGTAGCACTGTAGAGAGGCAATTGAGGGGAGAATGTTCCAAAGGCAGGTTAGGAAACATTTACATTTATTCAAAAGAAATAAATAAATCCATTTTAAAAACAGTAAATAAAAATGCTGCCTTCCAGTCATTCCCCAAAGCCTGGCAGAGTTAAAAATACACATTTTTGCTTGTCTCCAAAACAAGACCAAAGAGAAATGGAACGAAGCCACTACAGTGAGGCACAGCATTCCACAGTTATTGAGTCACAACCAAAAAGGCTCAACTTTCAGTAGAATCCAGCCTCAGCTCTTGGAAAGAAAGCAACCTCAGCTGACCTGAGGAGAAAAAGCATCCTCTTTGCTACCCGTCAATCGTACTAGCAATCCAGATGTTGCTGAACTGCAGTTCCTAGCATCTCTCCCAACTGGTCATGTTACTAGGAATGGCAGGAATTATAGCTCAGGAAGATTTGAGTGCCACAGGTTGCTAACTCTTTTCCTAGAAACTTACAAGATACCTTAATACACTAAATTAACATTTAAAAATGGAGCTTGTTTATCCTCTCCTAACATGCCCACATATGTTCTCACTACTCTAAAATACAGGATAAGGAAAATATAAGGAAAGTGTGTGTGTGTGTATGTATGTGTGTATGTATGTGTATACACACACACATACACACACACTGAGCAAGATATCATCTCTCTCCAATTTATCACATTTTTTTCTAATTTACTAGATGTATAGCCCACCTTTCATTCAGGAGCTCAAGGCTGTATACATAGCACTCTCTCTGATTTTTCCCACATCTCTATGAAAAGCCAGATGTAATTCCAACATGCATATCTAAGTTTACTATCTGCAATTGTAAAACCTGATGATCTTGAGCAGTATTACAGTCCATTATGAGATTTCATCTAAAGAAAAGAAAATACAGTGGGGCAAACAAGTATTTAGTCAGCCACCAATTGTGCAAGTTCTCCCACTTAAAAAGATGAGAGAGGCCTGTAATTCTTCCATTTTCTAATTATTGTTCCCACAGTTGATTTCTTCCATTTTCTAATTATTGTTCCCACAGTTGATTTCTTCCATTTTCTAATTATTGTTCCCACAGTTGATTTCTTCCATTTTCTAATTATTGTTCCCACAGTTGATTTCTTCCATTTTCTAATTATTGTTCCCACAGTTGATTTCTTCCATTTTCTAATTATTGTTCCCACAGTTGATTTCTTCCATTTTCTAATTATTGTTCCCACAGTTGATTTCTTCCATTTTCTAATTATTGTTCCCACAGTTGATTTCTTCCATTTTCTAATTATTGTTCCCACAGTTGATTTCTTCCATTTTCTAATTATTGTTCCCACAGTTGATTTCTTCCATTTTCTAATTATTGTTCCCACAGTTGATTTCTTCCATTTTCTAATTATTGTTCCCACAGTTGATTTCTTCCATTTTCTAATTATTGTTCCCACAGTTGATTTCTTCCATTTTCTAATTATTGTTCCCACAGTTGATTTAAAGTAACAAAGGCTAAAATTACAGGCCTCTCTCATCTTTTTAAGTGGGAGAACTTGCACAATTGGTGGCTGACTAAATACTTTTTTGCCCCACTGTATATATGGGCCTGTGCATTTGGATTTTACAGAGGAAGATCCCTTCAAAGTGTTATTCCTGGGCACTTTCCTCCACCAGAGAGGAAAGCTCAAAACTGAACACAGGTTTCAGAAGCTTCCAGGTTTCCTTAATACAACCCAAATTATTAAAACAAGCAACACATTTCTTAGGAACAAAAAACCAGTAATTTTACCATACCTTTGGGTTATGTAATATGATTACTTCTCTGTTTGGAGATTCCAATTTCTTTTTCCACTCGTCTAAGGTCACACAGATCATATAGGTATCCTTAGAAGGAAAACAAAATAGAATACTTTGAGGAGTCAAACGTATTTTTTACTTTTAAATTATAAAAGACTAAGTCTACTCAGAGTTGGCTATTCTAAATAACTATATAAAGCCAAAAGTGTCCCAAATAACTCCCAATACCATCCTCTCTACTTTCACAGGTCAAACAGAAGATGTGTGTGGAGAGGCAGATATGGTATGGTATGGAATGACAGTAGAACAAATTAAGACTTGTCTTCCATAACAATGCACTCTAATTAGATTTGGTATATGTTTCAACAAGGCCGCAGCTACAGTTAGAGAACAAATCATTGCATGTTTTCCACCATATGCATGGTTAGATATAATAAGATATTCTTCACTAATCATGAAAATTCTCTGTAGGGAAATTATTACTTCTTTTTCGGGTTGTAGGGATGACTATTTCAAATGGATTGATTTGACCTTAATTACTTTGGAAGCAATTTATATTTTCAGTCCCATATTCTGAGACTTAAGCTTTTTGGTTCAGCTTGATATCATTACATATCAGAATCCACTAGATAGATTTACATGCTTTCAGTAACTGGAACATGCTACAAAATGTACTGTTTACAATCAAGCCGTATGGTACAAATGTTTCTGTTCAAACTCTCAAACTACAATGCTGATCCAACACAGCATAACACCAAATTAGTATCTAGGATAATCTACTACAGGTGAGAGTTAGAGGAGAAAAACATCATTTACTGTTACCTACAGTTCTCAATTAAATCCATTCCAATGCATTTGTCCTAAAATGTCATTTCCTTTCCAAAGGACTTGGGTAGACTTGTCCTTGCTTCCAAACAAATGTCCAGAACAAAGCAGCTACTTAGGAGCAGCAGAAAACACCATGGAAATACAGGCAAGGAAGCAGACTTTGCAGACACACTCACCACCCTCTTCTAATACTTCCTTGTTCAAATTGTGTACATATTGCTTCCTGTTATCAACAATCCTGGCCTAATAATCCATTTGGGAATAAAGGAGCTGTAATCCAATCTAGCTGGAGGACAACTCACACAGCAAAGTTATTTTATGGAGACACAGTGTTAGCCCTTCCAGGTAGTCCAGACAAGAAGTGCAACTATGAGTACTAACTCTGTCTTTATTGTAATGTTACATTAACAGAATCTTGCAAGACTGAAAATATTTTTCCTCTCCTCTCCTCTCCTTTTACTCTCTGGAAAACAAGAGAGGGTCCCTTCTGAGATGCTTCCCATGCCCCCTTTCCTTCTGTGGGCTGAGAAATATTTTACATGCTGGTTGTCCAGTCTGTGGTTCTCCCTGTCTCCCAAGGTCATTCCCAGAGACTGTTACACACAAAAAGATACAGAAGTATTTTTATGTAAATGAAATACTATACCCCCAACCACTCACCCCCCCCC